CCAGAGTCTCCTCTGATGGACGTGTGTCCCCCATGCCATCCGCCTCTGGCCTGGAGCCTGCTCAGTTGGCCCACATTCTCCTGCTCGCCCAACCCAGCTCTGCTCAGCTGAGCTGTCTCCTTTCCTCAGCACTGGGTGACCGGGCTGGCTGCCTCCTCAGGGCCCACATGAATAAGCAATTCTTCTCTCTTCCTGGTACAGGACTCATTACCAGAGAAGCTGGCTGTGCACGAGAAGAATGTCCGAGAATTTGATGCCTTTGTAGAAACCCTGCAGTAAAAGAGTCCTCGAGTACCAGCAGCATCCCCTTTTTGTGGCCCCAGGGGACAGAGAGCCTCCCACTCATCAGCTGCTCCATCCCTTATCCTGCTCCAAGCCAGATAGAGGGGAGGATGGTTCCCCTCATGGGGACCAGAGTCCCTGCTCTTGGACCTCCCAGAGATTCCGTGGCAGCACTCAAGCCCAGTAGCAGCATTTGAGAGGACTCACCCTCTGGCCTGGGAGATGAGTCCTTGTAACAAAAGGGCCCTCAGCAGGGCCATCTGTGTGCCCTGGCCATCATCAGCTGCTTCACGGAGGGTGTCATCCCACTTCTCCTGCTGCCAGCCTCCTGCCTGGGGCTGCCCTGCACCTGGCCCCTGGCCTTCCTGCCTTTACCATCACCATTTGACATTCCAGCTGGTGGCCCAGAAACTGGTGCAGAGGCGGAAAGAGGAAGGACAGTGCTGGGAGGAAGAAGGAGGAGGTCCTTTAGGCTCTCTTGGTTGTCTCCTTTACTTCCTGCTATTTCTTCCTCTTTCTCTCCCTCTCTCTCTGCCTCCTGTGCCTGTACTTTGGCAATATGATAGGCCTGCCTGCCCAAGATGAAAACTCCAAAGCCAGCCATTCTCACCCTTGAAGGTTGTGCCAGCCCTTACCAGAGGGTCTGAGCGGCCCTGGTGGCTGCCTGTGCTCAACCACATGGACAATAAAAACAGAATCCTGCATCTCTAGGATTCTCTCATTGGGAATCACAGCAAAGTTTCTCTTTCTTCCCTCCCCCCATTGCTGCTCTTCAGTTATAGAACACGGTAAATATTTATTACTCTCAGAAAAATCAGCTATTTTATAGAGAAAATATGATTGAGGTTAGATGTTTTCACTTGGGGAAGGTGGAGGGCCTCTTCCTGGGACAGGGGCTCCTCCTGTGGACGTTCCTTAGAATCCAGGTTGCTGCTCTGAGGAGCTTCCTTCGCATTATATATATAAGGCGGGATCAAAGAATAGGGCTGGCAGAGGGCAAAGTAACTTCCCGGAATTGCTGTATTTGAACTGACAACAGGCTTTACCTTGGACACCTACATAGTCCTGGTGAGAGCCTTAAGTCTCTCACAGCGTCTGCAGAGTGACTTCCTTTCTGGCAGCTCAGGAAGTCTTGGCTGCTAAATATGATGCCTCCTTAGAGTTGCACCACATGTAGTGCCCAAGGGGCACTGTGTGCACCCCTGTTGCTGGAGTACTTGTTCTTGATCCTCGGGACTGGATTTTGGAACTTTTCTTCCTTCTGCTTAGGCCTGGCCACCACCTCCCTCTAATCCCAGGGTCTGTACAGTGCTCTGAGGTTTACGAGCTGGGTTGGTTCCTTGGTGAGAAACCAAAGCTGAGCATATGATTGACTGACTCCTTCAGGTATTGTTACTTGACTAAGGCAAGTGCCTAGTCTTACCTTCCTACCATCTGTCCTCTCCCAGCCTAACCGGTAGCCCTGGCCAAGGAGAACTAGGCCTCACTGGCAGCAGCTGTTCTTCAGTGGAGCAGGTGGCTCTCCATTGCTAGTTAGTAAACTGCATGTGACACTGTTCCCCCTGCAGGGCTGACCCGTGAGGGCTGGAGTGGGCTCTGGAGGGGAGCCCTGCCCCTGTGCATGCTTCTGCTGCCACAGAGAAGTGCTCCCAGTGGTGGCCAATCGGCCTTCCTGTCTTTGGGCCAGAGCACATCCTTGGCCTGCTGAACCAATCAGATTTACCCCCAAGGCCCCAGCGCTGAGAAGGGGCAAGGCCCCTGTTAGGTTATTGATACCCCCATCTCAGCCACTGCCCTCCTTCCAAGGCCTTGCATGGAAAGGCCTGTTAGCTATTGTCCAAAACAGTCCTCTTTGACTCCCTTATTGTTAGCCTCTGTAGGCAGCAGCCTTTCTCTAGGAGCCCATCCCTGAAGAGACCAGACAGGCTGAGCCCTGACCTTGAGTTGAGCCTGGGAGGAACAGAGCAACTGTCAAGGCCGGCCCTTGCCCCTCTGCCCTGTATTATAAAAGGTATGATCCCTAGGCTGACTCCTGCAGCACCCTGGAGACAGGCTGGGACCAGTCATCTGTCTCCAGGTGCAGAGTATCTTCTCCAATGTACTTTGTTTGGAAATACTGAGCTATACTTCAAAATGTATTCTAGAGATTTCCAATAAATTTTTTTCTGTACTTTACAGCCTCCTGTCCTGCAAGTTGTCTGAAAACCTAGCCCATCCCCTCCCACGTTGGTGCAGGTCTGAGTCACCAACAGGCTGCATGGAAAAGTGCGTTGTGAAGTGCAGAACAGCCTCGGAGTCCGGCAGGGCTGTTTTGAGTCTTGGGGTTCGCCACTTACGGGCTGTGCAACCTTGGGCCGGTCAGGAAACCTCTTAGAGCCTCATGTGTTGAGAAAGGAAAACAGTTCAGCCACTGTTTTCCTTGCAGTGTTCCCATGTCAGGGCTTATATTTAAATATTCAGTGAGATGATGTATCTGAAGTACACCCATAGTAAAATCTCCATAAAGCATAGGCCCTTATCACCAGCTCTTTGTTTCCCCTTACATAACACCACTCACTACTCAGCCTGGAGGAGAAGGTCTTGGCTCAGAGGGAAAGACAACTGGCAGGTCTGTTGTGTCTCTAAGAGAAGCCCTGCAGGGAGGGTGGGACTTCCCAAGCTGTCTGGGATGTGTTTGCCCGTCTAGTGTGACGAGTTGTGGATGAACAAGCCAGAGAGAAGGGAAGGAGCTGAGAGAAGTTGCAGGAAGTCAAGGGCCTGTACAAGTTTGTTTAGCTGCCCAGATCTGACAAGCAGCTCCAGCGAGGGGCTCTGAAAAGTAGAAGAGCCCTGCAGGGCTTAGTCCTGTGGCCGTAGGGGCTTTGGCTGCAGGCATCTCTACCTTGCCAAAGCCAGCCCCTGCCTTCTAATTTGTGCCTGCGGTGAGGGGAGGGAGCTAAAGGTAGAGCCAACATCCCAGAGGCCAAGATGGTTCTAGAGGCAACAGAGAATGGCTGGCAAGAATGGGCAACTGCTGTCTAGGTTGCTGCCCCACCCTCTTCAGGCTGAAGCCAGACCTCAGGACAAAAAAGGGCTGGTTAGAACATTCTAAATTCAGCCCAAACCTGGGACTGAAGAGAATGGGGCCAGCCCACTCCTGCCCTAAGGGCCCGGGAGCCCTTGCTTATTAGTAAACTACATGTGACTCTGACCATGATACCGACCTTGCAGCCAGCCAGGACAGAGTTGCCCAACCCCTGGGTCAGAAATGGTGAAAAGACTGTCCCTCATGTTCCCCCATAAATTGAGATCCCCAAAAGTAAAGTGCTTGGCTGCCCCATGACAAGCAATGGTGTCCTACCCCTTTAAAGTATCTCCCTACACTCCACCCCCAGAGACCTGCTGTTGCTAAGGCCTTGGTAAATTGGCATTTGAGTCACTTAGCAGAGGCCCTGCCAGGAGCCCAACCCAAGTAAACAGCACTCCATGTCTCCCAGTCCCCTCTCCTGTTTCCCTGGGTCACTGCCTCGCTGTTCCAAAGTCACCCAGCTTAGAGCTGAGCAGATCCAGTGAGAGAGAGAGAAGGTTGCCAATGCCTTCTGCCTCGAGGTACCTGGATGAAGGCCACAGTTGTGCAACAGGACTAGTTTTCTGGAGCTCAGGGCCAGTGTTTATAACCACCGTCCTAACAACACTGCCTGATCCTGCAGCTCTGGCCCAGCTCCCCCAGACTAAGCAAACAGGGAGAAGAACAAGACCAGCTGCGGCCACTATAGCCTCCTGATAACAATTAGCAGGCAAGCAGCGAACACCTGGAACTTGATCTTGACCAGTGTGCCAAGTAAAGTTCTGTCCTTCTGGCCTCTCACTGACATAATTTTTTAAGTTGTGGTGAAATGTAACATAAAATTTACCATCTTAACCTGTACAGCAAAGCAAAACCTCAGAAGACGAAAGGAAAACCAAAACTTTCACATAGCCTCCATATGACGAGGCAGCAGGTGGAAACAGCCTTGCCTCTGAGATTGAGGGGAAAGGGAGGGGAGGAAAGGAGCAGTCAGGAGATGACGTTTCCAGTCCTGGCTGCTACACAAGGCTGAGATGGTCATTCTGGTTACCGCAGAGCATTCTCTCTCACATTTTTTTTGGTTTATTTTGGCGGCTGGCCAGTACAGGGATTGAACCCTGGACCTTGGTGTTATCAGCACCATGCCCTAACCAACTGAGTTAACTGGCCAGGCCGTCTATGTTATGGACCATATACATTATTTCTGATCCTCAGAGAAACTATTTGCTGATGGAGAAACAGTCTCAGAGGTGGCGCCAATTGCATGACTATCAACAATTAGACCTGATGAGTGATGGAACTGGGATTCAGACCCTACTGTGACTTGAAAGCCCACACCATTGTCCACCACAACGCACTCCATTTTTTTCTCCCTTGCTTGCCTTACATAAATCTAAGTTCCCTTCAGGCTTCTGGTACATTCCAGTTGGGAGCAGAAGAGGCCCTGGTCATAGGATACAGCACATGGTGGCCCCTGGGATGCTGCAGGTGCAAAAAAGTGGAAGGTGACTGTTGACACTTTTGAGTCTAGAAGATGGGCAGAAAGCTGGTCTCACAACCACCCACAAGTGAACAAGATGAGGAAGGGGGCAAACGGACTGTTCTTCCCAATCACACCACGTTTCCCATCCGGTTCTGAACCTCCATGCCTCTTTTCCTTAACAGCCAGTGGGCAGTTTTCCATCTCCATTTTTATTGAAATACAAAAAGTGCAAATGGTGAAATACATGATTGGTGTCAGGGAATTCATTAAGTGTGAATGTGAACACTGGATTCACAGTACAAGTGCCCCGCAGGCACAGACCAGTGCCGCGAGGCAGGAGAAAGCCCAGGTAGATGCAAAAGGCTCCCCAGTAAATGGGGCTGTAAGCAACACATGATACACAAAGGAGAACAGAGAGCAGGGTGGCCCAGGCTAGGACACAGGGACCGACAGAACCAGCAGCAGCTCCAGACCCCAGGAGTCCTGATATGCCAGTGGCCTGGGAAGGGATCCAAGTGAGGTCAGGCCCAGGCCCTACCTGGCTTGCAGATAGGGCTTTGCTGGTCAGTAAGGATCCCCACAGTACAGGCTCTGGAGTTGTCCTGCCTGGCCCTGGCTGTGGGGGCAGAATCACTGCATGTACTTCCCTGCTACCAGGGGACAAGGCTGCAGGAATTGGGATCCCCAGGGTTCATCAGGAAGGAAGGAGTGTAATTCTAACGGACACAGCTGGAATGAAGGCTACCAACCATCATTGAGGTCCATGTTTTCTGAAGGACGACAGGGCCCATGGCCCCACACTCCCTCAGGGAGGTTGCTAGGAACCACCTGACAGTGGCTGACCTATTAGCAAAATCTCAGCCCCTCCTACTGGCATTCTCAGCCTCCACCCTGACCCTCCAGTCCCCCAGCTGTAGGAAGGAGCCACCACAGCTCCTGAGGCACTGAGTCACCTCTGGCCAGAGCAGGGACAAGTGTGAGTCCGCAGAAGACAGGCCCACAAGAACCTGCAGGCTGAGGATCTGTCCACCTAGGAAAGGAGGCAAAGCATGGAGGGGCTGAGACTGCCTGTCATTGATCCAACCATTACAAGGGCTCTCAGGGGTGGGAGTGGGGGTCTATTTCCAGTGGATGCTGGGACTCTGAGCCCTGTCATCCAAGCTGCCAGTTCTGGCAGAAACAGGGGATTAGGACACCCTGGGGACACTACCACTTGGGAGGAGCTGACCCAGGATGCTTGGGAGAGAAGGAGGCAGAAGACTCCAGCCTTGTCATTCCTTAGCTGTGGAAACGCTCAAGGCTGAGCCACTGTGGGGAGGACAGGAGCAAGCAAGGTGCTTGTGCTTGCATCCAGGCCTTCGTGAAGCAGGACTTCTAAAAGGCAGGGAGGCACCTCCACATGGTGGGGGGGTGGAGATGGGGGGGAATCCAAGGAGCTCAGCTATTCACTCCCCAGCAATCAGGAAGGGGAGGACCAGCTCCAGCTACCAGCCCAGCCGGCAGCAATTCTGTCATCCACAGTTGCCAAGGAACCAGAGGCAGGACAAAGCAGGAGAGGGGCTGCTGAGGCACAGTCCTCCAGCTGGAAGGACCAAGCCCAGCTCTGGAGAGCCTGGCAGGGGCCAGGGATCCAGAGAGGCAGTGAGAAGTATAAGGCGAAGAAAAATGTCTTAGGGTAACAGCGAGGCCTCCAGGGCTGCACAGAAGGGGGAAAAAGAGCTGCCCGCTTGGCTGGCTCCAGCTTCTATCTCCCTGGGCCTTCATGGCCCCCTTCCCGAGCAGGAGCCCCGGGCTCCCGTAAGGCTGATGCCAGGAGGACGAGTCCAAACTGGGTCCAGCAGAGAAGGGGGCCAGTGGGGCAGGGCTGGGCTCACAGCCCCTTGGAGTCGGAGCTAGGGAACAACTCCCCTTGATGATCCAGGAGGAACTTGGTGAAGGTGTTGATAGGATTAATGGCCTTGAGGGTGATGGCAGCATCCTTGGCCCATAGCAGGTTAGGGCCAAAGACCACAGCCAGGTTAGCGTTGGTCATCTTGTTCTGGTCAGAGTGGGCAGAAATCTGTGGAGGGAATTGGGGGACTGCAGCAGGAACCCACAGACCCCACCTCCCACTCCCAGCCACCATGACCGCAGCAGCAGAGGAAGCAGCTCCTCCTCCTCCCTCCCTGCTGTCACCCCCCCGCCCCCCGAGGTCTCACCTGCCCCAGGAAGGCAGTGAGGAAACGGAGCACCTGGTAGTTCTCCTCAGGCAGTGTCCGCAGGACCTGCAGTGTCACCTCTACTCTTTGGTTCTCATCAATGTCTACGAGGAAGGGGGGCACAGGTTACAGCTCCCTGGGCTGGGCTGGTTCAAAAAGCCCTGACATGAGGCGTGAGGGAGGCCCTGACCAGACTTTCCTTGGAGCGCCTAGCCCCACAAGCCTACAGCCCCAGACCCAGAGAAGACATGACAGCTGGGGAGGGAAGAGGGGGCACTCACTGAGGAAGCCCACAACGTGGGGGTAGAGGTCAAAGGTTAGCAGCGGCTCAGGAAGCTCCCGAAGGAAGGTCTTGAGGATGACTGCTGGCAGGTGCAGCTCATTGTACTGGTCGAAGTCCACAGGCAGCCCTGGATCGGGGAGGAAGTGTGGAGAGGAGCTTGGCCCAGCTTGAAGGCCTGCCGCCCATCTGGAGCCATGCAGGCCCCACTGCCCACAGCCACTTCTCCCAAGGAGCCTCCTCTTGCTCCTGTCTCTCCTCTTCCTCTGTGACCAGGGGCTGCAGGTTTGGGCCATTAGGGTGGAGTAGGGCCCGTCAAAACACATTACAGTTATTCCTCGCCTCTGGAGGAGCCTGAAACGCAGGGCCAAGGAGCCTGGCTGCTGAGGCAGCGGGTCTGGGACAGCCAGGCAGAAGTGGAACCTATGTAGTGACACCAAATGCCACAGAAACTTCTGAAAGGAAGAGAATCTGGGACCCTTGTTTACAGGGCAGCAGAAGGCAGAGAAGCCCCCTCTCAGTCACACACACATGCCCCAACCCCACCACCCACACACAGGACCTGCACTGGCTCTGTGGGCCTGGCACAGCCCCCGACACTCACCCATGTTGTACTTCTGCTGCACTTCCCGTACGACCTGGGTGTTGGCCGACCTCCGGAAAATCCCCTCAGTAGTGAGAGCTGGGAGACAGACAGTGGGGACTGGTGAAGCTCAGAGCTCTGGGCAGGGTGTAGACTCCTGTCTATTCTCTGTCTTGGGGCTCCAAACAGCGCCAGCAGGGGTGTTCTCTCAGCCCTGCCCAGCAGCTTCCTAGGGGAGCTGGGAGACCCAGCTGAGGAGGAGGCTGGGGGCAAGGTAGGTTTGGAGAAAGCAGGCCCAGGCACTCACCGTGGGCCTGTAAGTAGGCAATGGTCTCTCTGAGCACAATCGGAATGGGCTCCTGCTCTGGGTTCTTCTCCAGGAGGCTGTGGGGACAGGGCCGTAAGCTGGGTCTACAGCCCCTCCCAGCCCTTGGCAGCCAGGCAGGCCTGCCCACCTTTCGCATACTCACTGTTGCAAGGAGACCCCAAACTGCTGGTTGGGCAGGGGGGGCCGTGGTGGCATGGGCTTGGGGGCTGTCGCAGGGCTCTTCTGTGTGGATTTGAGGAAGTCATCATACCTGGGGGAGCAGATGGCAGGAGGGTCAGGCCTTCGGCCCAGCTCTGGAGTTGCTATGACAAACTTTATCAGGCAGTTACTGTGCAGTTTTACAAGGATGATCTCATTCAGTCCTCATAACAACCCTACTTTACACATGAGAAACAAAGACTTAAAGAGATTCAGTCATATGGCTTTGAAAAGTGACAGCAGTGGGACTGAACACGCTCTGTCTGACCCCATATGCTGTCTCTGAATCATAACAAGCACCTCCCCCAGTTATCCTGGCTTCTCCCCCAACTTGGCCCGCTCGTGCTAACAGGCACACACACGCCCCCAGCCTGCGCCGGGCCTCACTTGAGCACTTGGCGAGGGATCCCCAGTTGCTCCAGCTTCACGTGCTCGCTCAGCTCACTCAGGTAATTCACATAGAAGATCTTCCGCCCAAACTTGAAGCTGTTGACAGAGGAGAGGGCTTGAGTTGGGGTGGGCCCGTGTTGGTGGCCTCCACTTTCCCCTTACCAGCACCCCCCTTGGGACAGAGGTCTGGACCCAGCAGGTCTGTCTGCAGGTGTCCTCAGGTATCAGCTTCAGGGTTCACAGGGAGGAATGGGGAGACTGTCAGGCCACTGGGCCTGCTGACCTGATGAGGGGCTTGAAGAGGATGAGCAGGGTTTTGATGAACATGGTGGGGTGCACGATGTACAGGGCCTTGATGTTCTTCTTGTACCTGTAGAGGCAGGACAGCACTCAGGAGTGGGCGTGGTGGGAGCCACACAAAGCCGGGTTCCTAACGTGTGCCTTCTGCTTTGACACTCATGGCACGCGTATGAGTGAAGTGCCATTGTTGCCCCATTTTGCAGATTAGCAAACAGGAGGCTCAGAGAGGTTGAGTAACATGAAAGTCACAGAGCGAATAGGTAGAAAAACTGGGATTTAAGCCCAGGCCATTCTGACTTCAGATTCTTGTTGTTTACCCAAGTGAGGGCATCTGCCTCCCCATGGCATAGAATAAGCTCCTGCCCAAGTGGAGGGCAGCCCAGAACCTGGCAGAGCTGCGGGAACTGGAGCCACCTGCCCCCAGCCCTGCAGCCCACCCCCATGCTCCACTCCAACTCACTTGCGGTCAAACTCCCGGTAGGCATCCCGGAGCCAGCTGAGGGAGGGCTTATTGTCACTGGTCAGGCCATGGTGCAGGTAGAGCAGTGTGTAGTCACTCTCCACGTACTGGTCCAGCGTGTGCTTCAGGTACCTGAAAAGAGAGAAAAGCCCTGCTTGGGCCTGCCCTATGCACAAGCGGGGCACCCGTTAAGACAGAGGTGCCTGCTTATGTCTCACCCCTTCCTCTGAGCACTGTCTATTCTGGCTGTATGACCAGTTGCTGTGTTCCTGTGCAGGAGGCATAGCACAGGGGCCAGGCCATGATGGGAGGAGGAATTGTATGATAACAGCTCTCATTTTTGAGTACCGACTAGAAGTCAGGAGACCAGGACTCTAACCTGGGCCCTCTTGCATACTTGCACTAAAACAAGAATGACATTTCCCTCCCAAGATTGCCCTGAGTCAATAACAGTGATGACAGTCACGACTTACCAATATTAAGCTTTTAGTGTCTGCCAAGCACTTTGCATACATTGTCTCATTCCTTCCTCTTAACAGTTGAGGTTATTATCCCCATCTTACAAATGAGCAGGGAGGTCAGATTCTTTCCAAGGTCACACAGCTTGTGGTAGAGCCTGAAGGTGAAGTGCCCAACTCCAAAGCCTGCATTCTGGACCGGGGAGACAGCTCTGCTTTTTACACATGAACTCCAGCACACGTTGTAAAACACTGTGCTGGTGAGAGGGGATCGGCTTTTAGTGGACCAAAGAGCTGTACTTCCTCAGTTCCTTATGCTCACAACATGATAGCTACCACCTCAACACAAATACACGCAGGATGTTGAGCATACTGAGAAGTACGGATGGAATGAACAAGAATTCAATAAAGGGAGGGAGTCTAGGGTAAAGCCCTCCTTCTGGTTGGCCAACCAGCTGCCAGGCTCCAGCAGGGATACCACTCCAGGCTGGGAGACTAAGCAGACAGAATGCTAAGGACTCCCAAGGGGAGTAGGGAAAGGGGAAGAAGCCTGGGGGAGTGCTCAGATACAACTTGACCTGAGACAGAGAAGGTAACCTCAGTACTGGTCCAGGGCAGCTGGGCTGGGCAGCACAGGTAGGCATGTGAAGTTGCTAATGCTAGATGATTATTGTGATTCCAATTGTTGTTAACCACACAATAATTTACCCCTATACACACCAAACACTTTGCAGTTTACAAAAATCTGCCACATAAAAAGATGGCATTTTGCAACTATAAAAACAGCAAAGACTGCATTGAAAATAGACACTCTCATCCATTGATGGATGTTATGGCTTTTTAGAGGGCAATAAAGTGATGTTTATCAGACACTATAAAATGTTCATGCTCTTGGACTTTGTAAAAAATATGTCCAGGAATTTATTCTAAGGAAATAATGAAAAATAACAGAAACATTTTTGTAGAAGGCTGTTCATCGCTGTTTTATGATGGGAAAAAAAATGAGCAGCAAGCTAACTGTCCAACAGCAGAGACATCTAGAAATAGAACACCTCACAGGATGTTTCTGCAGACAGAACTAATCTATGAAGGCAGAAGTCAGAACAGTGGTCACCTTTTGGGGCAGTGACTGGAAGAGCAATGGGAGGGTTGTGGGGCATGGGCAATATGAGTGTGTTCAGTTTTTGAAAATTCATCAGAAATTTTTTTTAAAATGCATGTTAATAATAAAATATTTTTATTTTTTATTTTTATTTTTATTTTATAAAGATGACCGGTAATGGGATCTTAACCCTTGACTTGACTTGGTGTTGTCAGCACCACGCTCTCCCAAGTGAGCGAACCGGCCATCCCTACGTAGGGATCCAAACCCAATGCCTTGGTGTTATCAGCACCACACTCTCCCAAGTGAGCCATGGGCCAGCCCTATAAAATACTTTTTAAAGAATGTCTTTGAAGAATGTTTAGTGTTCGGAAGATAAAAATGTTATGTAAGATACAAACTGACTATAGAGTTCCATATATATTACAGAAAAAAATACGAAGCGAAGACACCAAAATATTAACAACGGTTTTCTCTCTGGGTGGTAGGTTTGTGGGAGACTTTTTTTTATTATAGTTGTCTATAGTTTTTTCTTTATAGCTACCTACATTTTTCTAAGCTCATAACACTTCAAAAATGTGGCATTTCATGTATATTATCTTACCTACTCCTACAACAACCCATGAAATGGGCACAATTCTCACTTCTACAGGGCTTGGAAAGACCTGCCACAAGCGCGCAGCTGGTATGAGGCAGAGCTGAAGCTTAATTGGTCATCTGGTTCCGAGCTTCAGGCACTTTCAGATCTGTCAACCCGCCAGATCTGGGTGGACAGCTGGGAAAAAACCAGGTCTAAGATAATCTGACTAAAAGCAGGAGACAACCTGGTCCATGATGGAAGCACCTCACCGCTCTTTGGCAGGGATTGTGACCAGGCCAGGGTGTGTGTGTGTGTGGGGGGCGGGCGCGGGGTTGGGGGCAGGGCGGGGATCAGCCCAGAAAGGGCTGGAGGACCCACAGCAGCGGATAGCAGAGGGCCTCCTGAACTTGGAAGAGGCCCCAGAGTGGGAGCAGCCTCTCAGCAGGCTATCTCCTGAAAACTGGGGGCTTTCTCATCCCCATCCTCTGACCTCCTCCCACTCAGATTATTATCTGGCTGGGGAAAAAACAGAGAGCATTTGACTCAGCCCCCCTCAGGCTGTGCTCCTTGGCCTATTCCTGACTGGGCCTCATGATGGGCCTGGACAAGGCTCTGCTGCCTCATCTGAGGAGCAGCAAGAGCAGAGGTCAGGAGGCCAGAGAGACAGAACTCACAGCAATGCTCACCTGGGGCTAGCTGAGGCTCCAACATCAGGCCCTTCTGCTTCTGCTGTGGCAGTCTGGGACTGTTCCCCCCCCTGCCCCCCCAACACACAACCATTCAGGATCTCAAAGAGCTGCTATGGGCAGTGCTGAAATTTTAAATTTCTACCCCACAAAAATAAATATAAATAAAATTGAAAAAAAAAAGAAATTTTATTTATTTGTTTTTTTAAAAGATGACCGGTAAGGGGATCTTAACCCTTGACTTGGTGTTGTCAACACCACGCTCTCCCAAGTGAGCAAACCGGCCATCCCTATATAGAGATCCGAACCTGTGGCCTTGGTGTTATCAGCACCACACTCTCCCAAGTGAGCCACAGGCCAGCCCTCCAAAAAAAAGAAATTTTAAATTTCAGGGAGTGATTTAAACTGGTCAGGAAAGAAGAGCAAGATGGTCCGTGTACACACATTGAGGAACAGCAGGAAGTCAGTTACTGTTCTGCCTCCATGGAGGTCCTGCACATACTGTCACAGCACACTGGTCCCCACTGTGGGACCAGTCCTGGATCACTAATGAACGGTTATTGGAATAAGGCCTGTCACACTTCTGCTTTCAATCAGCCTTTGGACTTGAGTCAGGAGATTTCTAGATCAGCCAGAACTATTACATATACAGTCATGCATTGCTTAATGACAGGGATACGTTCTGAGAAATGTGTTGTTAGGCAATTTCGTTACTGTGCAAACATCAGAGAGCACACTTACACACACCTAGATGGTACCACCTCCTACACACTGAGGCCATAGGGTATAACCTATTGCTCCAACCACTGTCATATAAAGTGGTCCATCGTTGACCGAAACATCATTATGTGGAACCTGACCATATTTGGCTAAGAGAACCCACATAAACCACTGGCATAAAATTTGGCACAAATTTGGCATAAAATCAGATAACACAAATTATTCATATAAATGATAAACAATTGCAACCACATCAGAAACACCATATAATTATAATGATCAGTCCTCACATTTGGATGGCATTTTACTTTTCAAAGCATCTTCATGCGCAGTTTCTCCACTCATATGGACGGAGGGCTATACTATTATCCCCTTTGAAAGAGGAAGAAAATGAGGCTCAAAGACACTTGCCAAGGTCACACAGTTTCCATGCCTAGAAACTAGGTCTGACTCCTAGACCAGCATTCTCCCCCAAATATAAAATAGTTCCCTCATGAGAAGAGGCAAGGCATCATGGAGATGGCCTGGCAACCCCAGGCAGGGAGGGACAATAAAGAAAATGGTGTTAGGCTGTACTGGAGATCTGGGCAAATGTCCCACCACACTTCCCCGTGGGTACTCACCCCAGGAGCTTGCTGTGGTCCAGCTGGTGGCTTGGGGGCATTCGACAGGCACTAAACACAATGATCTTCCTCCCATACTTGTCATCTCCTAGGTGTGGAGAGAGATGGAGCACAGTGGGCCAAAGATGAACTGAAAGAAGTAGAGTGAGGAACTTAAAGGCACCAAGCCCGGAGAACTGCACCAGTCAGTACAGGGGCCAGAGTGGCCCATGCAGATATACCTCTGGGCAGCCTCTGTACTCTGATGATGTGCCACTGAAGAAAGAGGGACAGGCTGCTTTCAGGGCATAGAAAAAATTACATCACTTTTTAAAGAGTCACACCTAAAGGAAACAACCCAAGTGTCCATCAGTGGATGAATGGATAAAGAAAAGGTGGTATATCCATGCAATGGAATATTGTTTGGCCATAAAAAGGAACGAAGTACTGACACATGCTACAATATAAGGAAACAACCCAAGTGTCCATCAGTGGATGAATGGATAAAGAAAAGGTGGTATACCCATGCAATGGAATATTGTTTGGCCATAAAAAGGAACGAAGTACTGACACATGCTACAATATAGATGAAACTTGAAAACATTATGCTAAGTAAAAGCAGCCAGACACAAAAGGCCACCTACAGTGTGACCCCATTCATATGAGATATCTGGAATACGTAAATCCATTGAGACAGAAAGCAAATTAGTGGTTTCCAGGTGCTGGGAGGAGGGAATGGGACTGACTGCTTAACGGGTGTAGGGTTGGGTATGGGTATGGGTGATGAAAATGTTTTGGAATTAGATAGAGGTGATGGTTGCACATTATCAATGTACTAAAACCACTGAATTATATATACTTTAAAATGATTTTAGGGCTGGCTGATGGCCTCACTTGTAGAGTAATGGTGCTGATAACACCAACGTCAAGGGTTCAGATGCCCGTACTGGCCACCACCAAAAAAAAAAAGGTTTTGTGCTATGTAAACTTTACCTCAATTTAAGAAAAATCATGCTCACTAAAGCATTTGTTATCTTGCCAATCAGTCTAAAAAGTTTTCGTTTATTCCATAAGCACCCCCTCTGAGCAGTGTGTATTTGAAAACCTCTTGAAACTACCTTCTCGGCAAATCTGAGGCCTCTGAGGAATTCAGTCTGATTACTTAATAGTCACGTCTCATGTTTGACCACTGACAACACTAACTTTGTTACTAGAATTACTGACCACACTTGGCTCTGATTAACTTCTGGGCATTTCTAAAAATTGTATCTTTCTCATTAAGGATTTTCTAAAGAACATGGAGTTCAGAGGAGTTTGTAATGCTGTTGACCACACTTGGCTCTGATTAACTTCTGGGCATTTCTAAAACTTGTATCTTTCTCATTAAGGATTTTCTAAAGAACATGGAGTTCAGAGGAGTTTGTAATGCTGTGGGAAAATGCTCATTTGGGTGTAATCATTCAGGATGTTTGTCCAAAGCATAAAAACTCAATGTTCTGACCTCCTGGGTCTGTCATGAAACTGGGAGGCTCTGAGACATAAGCTGAAATTCTCTTCCAGACTCAGTGTAGATAAGGGACTCCCAAGCAAAGCTTGACAACAAGGCCTGGTCCCCACTCTCCCATGTCCCAGGGACCTTCCCTTCACCCCTACCTTCATGCCTCTCCAGAGACACCAAACTGCAATCACCTAATCCCTACTGCCTCAGAGGTGAGTAAAAAAACCAGTTACAAAATCAATCCGTGAAATGCCATGCGAGTCTGCCCTTCCTCTACCTCTGAGGACCAAGACTACTTCAGCCTTTGTTGAGCATCTCCCACATTTAATAAGCCATGGTCTTGATGATCCTTCTTGGTCAGTGACTCAATTCAGGAGTCAGTGCTTTTCCAAAGTGGTTGCCAAGGCTCTGCCTCTTTTTCTAGGGCTTAGGCAAGGCTTAGTGGAGGAGCTGAAGGAGGTTTCTAGAATATGGACAGGGTGGCCTCAATCCCTGATGGATGTATGACCTGGTGCTTTAGCCTGATTTAGTACCTCCCAGCAGTTGAACTACCAGGTCCAGCCTCTGGATCAGTCCCCTAGCCCTCCAATTTCCAGCCAAAGCACTGCCTGGTTCTGTTGGCCCTAAAAGGTCCTAAACAGGGCCCTCCAAGAATTTCCCAGGTCAGGGTCTGAGGCCTGGCCCACCAAGCCCAGAGAAATGTCATCCACTCCTAAGCTGCCTCAACTTCTATAAACACCTAGCTGCCCTCACTCTACTGCCTTGAATCCTACTTTCTTCCTGAACCCCACCACAGATATACTCTGTGGGCCCCCAGTCCTGTAAATGCTCCTTGGAATAGCTCACAGTATTCTCTAGGCTCACACCATGCACAGCTCCAACATGGAGGTGCTCAGAGCCCTGTCCATACCAGGCTGGTTTGAGCCTCTGCTGTTTCTCGTAACAGACAGAACTTTCTCTAGACAATTGTACTCACCTCCTCTAGGCTAACTCCTATGAACCCTTAAGACTCAAGGCAAGCATAATCTTCTCTTAGAAGCCTGTGTCCTCTCCTTCTTCCCCCAGACAACTTAGCTATCCCTTTTCATGGTTCCCAGCATAAACCATCATGGTGCCTTGACTCTCCTGTAAAATTACTTATGTGCCTGTCTCCTCTACTGGCTCATGAGCAGCTCCAAGACAGGGACTGTGTCTCAAATCTCTAGTGCTGGTCTAGTGCCCAGAATGTGGCAGATAAGTGTTGGTAACTTGTACAAAGTCACAGGTTGCTATTACATGATATGTGAGGATCTATTTCTGAGTTTGTTGTTGATGATGCTTAGGTTACAAGTTAGACTGCTTTAGACAGTGAGTTTCTCAAAGCCTGGGACAGAATTTTTCCAGATTTCCAAATGGAGATTCCTCTACAAGCCTATCTGAAGAGGAGGTGCAGCTCCAACCAGCAGTAGGTCTGTTTTGAAGGACCAGGTGCCACCTGCTCTTTCATACCCTAGCCTAGATCCTGCTGTGCTGGGTTGCTCCCGGGCCAACTGGGGGTGGCTCTGGGGCTACATGCCTGCTGATTCACTTACCCCATGCTCTGACAGTGGAAGGAAAAGCAGACTGGCAGGGGCAGGGTCAAAGGGTTAGAATGGCAAGCACAGCCTCATGTATAATCTAGAGCTTCAGAAATCCCTGAGACTCTTACCACAAGCCTGTGAAGAGGGTACATCATCTGTTTACCTCCATCTAAGCAGAGGAAGTGCCCAGGTTGTGAGGGGAAATGCTATGAGGAAGATGGGGGGCTTCCAAAGGATTCTTTTTGTCCCTGCTTGCTTCCTCCCTTCTCTCCCCGCCTCACCCCCAGTACTAAGGCAGCCCTCATTGGCTGGCAGATTTGAAGACTTAGCCAGGGCAGAGAGTCTGTGATCTCACAGGACTCTGGAATTTAAAGAGCTAGTAACTGGCTAAGGAAGCAGTTTGAGTGAGAGCCAGGGTCCTGTGGTTAGCCCTCTCAGCTGGCCCCAGCACCACGGAAATGGGAAGCTTTGGGTTCTCAACCAGGGCTCCACCAATGGGCTCAGCAGACCCACCAACTCCAACACGTTACATGAAAAATACTTGTATTACAAGTACATGTGCATTTTTCCTAGAGAAAAAGATCCATACTCCAGAAAAATCTTTCATAATTTCAAAGAGGACTGTGAGCAGTTCTAAAAACCATTTCACTAGACTGTAAACTTCTTGAAGAAGGGAAAGTGTGTTTTTCCTCACTGAATCCTCAGCGCTGACTAAAGACTCAGTTTGTTCCAGGGTTCTATGATACTGTTCTATGAATGCACACTGGATGAAGCCAGGATGGAGATGTGGCAAAAAGGGGGTCAGTGAGGGGTTGGCTGGCAAGACTCCCAGACAGGTGAGGAAATGAGAGGATGGGCAACCCTAGGGTCTAGACCCTACCCTCCCACTCCTTGAAGCAGGGTCCCATCGCCCAAGTCCTTGGGTAGCCCAGCGTTCAGCAGCAAGCAGCACATGGAGAGACCCAGAACTCCCTGTCTTGATCTCAGAAGAGAGCAGCCTCTGCCTTGGAGATTTAAGGGAGAGGGGAAACTGGCAGCTCTGGCGTCTCCAGAGCTCAGTGAGGAGGGAGACACAACATTTGTGGGAAGCACCAGGAAGAGACAAACTGCCTGAGCAGGAGGCCTCTGCATTCCCCAGATACCAATCAGGAACTCTCCCAGGGTGGCCTTGGTGTTAATCAGCAACAGGACAGCTCTTCCAGCAAACATACCAGGCACTGGGCACCGTCAAACCAATCACTGGCCCCGCCCACAACCTGTAGAGCAGGCCAAGGCCATGGGAGTTGGGGGCTGGGACTGACAAATCCAGCAGTGTGCTGGAGATGGCTCACACACTTGTTAAATTGTTAAATTGGTAGGAATTTTGCAAGCCAGTTGACATCATGTTGGTAGTTTGAAATCTGCATGGTAGAAATTGCAAATGCTACAAATAATGGCTTTTTTTTTCCTTTCCAGAGAGCCAACTGTTAAACATTCACTAGCACACCAGTAGAAAGAACCCACCTGGACTGAATCAAATTTGACCACGGAGCATGACAGCCACCGCTCATAAGGAGGAGAGAAGCTGCAGAGGAGTTGAGGACATAACATACTCTCCCTTCCAACATAGGCTCTTTCTCTGGTTTCTAGCACCGGGAAACTGGCCTCCTAGGGATGTCACCATGGTCTCATCAGAACGAGTCTCACTCTGGTGGTGCCAATCCAGACTCATCTCACCAATCAGAGAGGCATGCACACAGGGGACACCATCACTCAGAGGGCCCCTGGGCCAGCACTCAGGCCAGACCCAGTATGGACAAGGCCCTCCTCCCCTGGAGCTCCTTTCTCTGGGTGTGTCCCCATAGGCCTCAGCCATGTCACACCTCCCATAAATCCTTTGTTATTTCCGGCTGCCAGGCACCACCAGCTCCCAGCTCCCCAGAGCAGGGCTGCAATTAAGCTGGCCCTGCTGGCCTTCACCAAGAGCCTTTCCTGATCCACAGCCCCAGAGGCCAAGCACAGAGAGCTAGGACTGACACCTACCTGGCCAGGCCCCCTCAGGCTCATCGCACCCTGGGGAAACAGAAACGTGTTGCAGCTCTGCTTTGCAGGGGGAAGAGGGGTCCCCCACAGCTCTGCTTGTGACTTGACCACACGGGCCAAGATGATGTCAGCATAGAGACTCTTTCACATCCCAATCAGGTTCAGAACCTTCAGGGTGACTGTCCTGTGCCCAGGTCAGAATCAAGCTAGGAAAGAACTCTCAGCCTTGCTTCTGTAGGGGTGAGAGAGGCCAGATCCAAGGCTCCCAACTCAGACTAGGGTGAGCATGAAGAACACAGATGGCATGGAAACCCCTTTGACATTAGAGACAATCCTCTCAACTGCCCCATCCCTCTTTTTTTTTTTTTCCTTTTTTTGTCTTTTTTCGTGACTGGCAACGGGATCGCAACCCTCGGTGTCGCACCTGTACCACGACCGGCAACGGGATCACAACCCTCGGTGTCGCGCCCGCACCACGCTCAACCAGTGAGCAGACCGGTCTCTATATGGGATCCGAACCCTCGGCGGGAGCGCCGCTGAGCTCCCAAGCGCCGCACTCTACCGAGTGCACCACCAGGCCGGCCCATCAACTGCCCCATCCCTCTTTAAGCCCAGCATTCAGGAGAGTTGGAGCTCCATGCTGCTTCCCCATGGCCAGATGCCTCCAGGCATGTGGCTTCTTTTGGAGTGGGTTCCCTCCAGAGGCCGTGTTCTACATGGCTCCCCTTGCCCACTCCAATGCCTCAGGGCAGGGCCAAGCTATCACCCTTGCTTATAGCTAGCTGCCTGGCCTCACCAGGGAGGAAAGATAACCACTGGGGAAAAGACAAAGGATCCTACAATTCCAATTGCCTCTTGTAGCAGTGGGACCCTAAGGATAGGAACCAGCTCATCAACATCTCGCCACCTCCCCTCCCCCTGGTTTCTTCTGGGTCCTGCCTTATGAACAGGAGGTAGGGAGCTCCTCACCCCTTCTCAGCAGCACATCTGCCAGGAAGCTGGTGCTCCAGGGAGTCACATGGCTCCTCACTTCTGGAAGGAGGTGCTGCCCATTCCAGATTTCCTTGGAGGTAGATTTCCTAGAAGGTACTCTCCTCCCTCCTTCCTTTCCTCCCCGCCCTCCTCCGTAACTGATGGAGTGGAGAGATGACATCAGGGCAAAGGGAAGGGAGGGAAACAGCATGAAGGGAAAGGAATGACCACTTACTCAGGGCCAGCTATGTTCTGGCTCTGGGCTAGGCCCTGACACATATTCGCTATTGTAATCCTCTCACCAACTGCATGAGGAAGAAATTAGTTCAGAGAGCAGAGCTGGAAATCAAACCCAGGGCTTTCTGACTTATAAGCCACTAGGCCACACTGCCTCCCACATACCACCCATAAATGGAGACAATGAGGTCATAGGTCAGGAAGCAAACACAGGCGAACATATCAAGTGACAATCACAATCAAGTCTGTGGTTTTAAAGAATGGTACATGTGCTCAGAAGCTCCAGTGCCAGGGTGAGACCACAGGGTGGGCACCAGCCGACTCCCCCAGTCCCTTCCCCTATGGTCTGAGGCTGGCTTCCTTAAGCCAGGAGCACAGACTGAGGAAAAAGGTGTATGCTAGGTGTGCTCACCTGCCACCTCCACAATCTGGTGCCGGGCGATGTCATAGTAAGGGTCGTCCCACTTCAGGTGTGTGACAGGTTCTGGGGAACTGCTTTTGGAGTCATCTGAGGAATAGGGCAAAGTCAGAGGATGACCTGGGGGCTGGTACAGAGCTCTCATGGAGATGCACGTTCTGCCACCCTCCCCACAACTAAGGCTTGGGCTCTCAGCCCAACACTGGGGCTGTCTGCTTGCCCCCATCCTGCCCTCCTGGGATCTCACTTCAGCAGGAAGGGGCTTACAGCCTGTAAGACACCTGTAGATGCCTGAGATCTGGCAATGCCTACCTGATTTGGGAAAGTCAGGCATTTCATCTGAGGGCCAGTTCTTCTCATCGATGGAGGCCAGTTTCAGCTGGTTCAGAGACTGGCTGGTGTCATCTAAGGTCAGGTCGTCCTGCAGCTCTGAGAGTGGATCCATGGCCAAGCCTGTCCCCCACAGCAGAACCTGAAGAGAAACCTGGGATAGGGAAGGAGGTAGCAGGTCAGCGACACCCTCTTCTCAAGTTCTGTAAGTTCCACAGCAAAACCTCCTGACCCACCTTTTCCTACACTCCCTTGTCCCTGTTCCTCAACACTTCTCATCCCTGCCAAGAGCATCATGTAGCTCTGGGTTCTGCTGGCTCCACGGTTCAGGCATGTTGCCAGCAAAGGCAGCTGGGGCAGAAGATGGCACAGCTCAGTGCCTCCCTTCAGGTCCTCCAGCTGGGTAGGAAAGAGCTGTGCCAAGTCCTGTGCTGCCCGCCACCCACCTGGCTCAGTCGTGAAGTCCCAGCTGCAGAGGGCAGAGGTCCAGGCCCCTCTCCTCAGAGGTCCTAGAGCACAAAAGCTTCCCAGGCCCCAGCAGCTACAGGGGTAGAGATGTTGCAAGAGTCTAAGGAGCACAGGGGTCTCCATGCCTGAAAAAGGTCAGCTGTGGCTATATTACCCTTCACTCTTGGCCTGGGGAACAGGAGGTGGCCAGAGACAAAAAGGTCCCAGAAAAAAGGTCATGGCTGAGGGGCCCAGCTGGATTTACCCTTGGACAGGAACCAGCAGCAGGGGACAGAATCTGCCTACCAGTCACAGCAGACAACCTGCAGGCTCCTAGGGGCTCCAAGACCACTCTTAATCTGTGGGGAGTTCCTGACACGAGCTTCAAGGTGGGAAAGGTCAACAGATTGCCCTACGGATTGCAGAGCACAGATGGAAAAGGGGGATGCTCGTGACATCCAGAATGCTGAAGTGAGGAAGTGAAGAAAAGAATAGCAGGCAGAGGGCCAGCCTGTGGCTCACTTGGGAGAGTGTGGTGCTGATAACACCAAGGCCACAGGTTCGGATCCCTATATAGGGATGGCCGGTTGGCTCACTTGGGAGAGTGTGGTGCTGACAACACAAGTCAAGGGTTACGATCCCCTTACCAGTCATTTTTCTTTTAATTAATTAATTAATTGATCGATTAAAAATAAATAAATAAAATAAATAAATAAGAACAGCAGGCAGGGAGGGAGAAGAACCGACTCTGAAACCAGGTTTCCCTAGGCCTGGGATCTGGTCATAAGGCTGCATGCAGTCTGGGGCAGACACCTTCTGCCCTTGGCCCTAAGGGGAAGCAACACCCTCTCCCACCACATGCTCACCATGTGGGTGAGGAAGGGGAGTTTCAATTCAACCCTTTTAGTCTAACCTCAGAGAAGAGGCTGCTCTAAGTCCAGCTGCATTCCTGGAGCCCCAAAAATGACATATATGGGCAGAGAATCAGCAAGGCAGATAAGGAGAGCAGACAAGACCTGGGGGTGGGTAGGAAGAAGACAGGGAGAACTGCCATCTGAGATCCACAGACTCTGGGCTCTGAGGCAACGTGACAACCTCCTGCACACATCACAGCCAAGGCCTCTGGATGGTAAACTGTCTCCCTGTGCCTAGCAACAACCACCCTGTTACCAGGGCAACCACACTGATTCAGTGGTAAAAGCTGTTTCAAGCTCCTGAGCCAAAGCCAAGCAGCCAAGCAGCCAAAAAAAAACCTCCTTTTCCTCTCCTCTCCCCTGGCCTTATCCACTAGCCTTGCTTGCCGCCAAAATATAAGTCCCTTCCCAAGAACACAAAGAAGGATGACCCTCTTCCATTTGGGAATGCATTTCTCTCAGTACTGTTGTGCCCCTCACCCCTAAAGCCCAGCTCTCTCACTCCCCTTCAACCCTCAATCGTGTCATGCAGACAATCTTTGATCTTGAGGAATCCGCCTGTGATGTACCTACATGCTCCTCCCCTTCATTCAACAAGAAGGCAGTGAGGGCTGCTCCCCATAGAGGCCCCTAGCTGGGTAATAGGGACAGAATTGAGCTCAAAGCAACCCCTACATGCCTGAGCCTTTTCTCCATGACTTCTGTTCTGTCACTGCTCAGACACCAGCTGTCTTTCTGCACACAGTAGGTGCGTGATGAGATGAAAAAGGCATGGGATGAGGTATAAGGAGAACTGAACTCAAGTCCTGCCTAAATCAATGAGTTGCAAAGATTCTGGCAAGTCCTTTTCCTATCTGGGCCTAAATTTCCTCATCTGTAAAAGCGAAGGCTCCTCCCAGAAATATAATTCTCCAGTGTTCAGAAATACTTATGCTGAAGTGAATAACTGGATTAGAAGGAACAGCTGGGAGCTGAGGTATGTGTGAGGGAGGGAGAGGGACAACAGCTAAAAGGGAGCTGAACTTGAACTCCACCTCTTTTCCAGTAAATCCTCCTGTATTGTCAGTTCTTCCAGACCTGACCTCCCTCAACACCCCCTCATAACCTCCTTTTCCAGCATAACTAAGCACGGTTGTTCCCAGCTTCCAGCCAGACTGGCCTCTCTCACCCTCCTCCAACCCACGGCTATTGCTTTCTCTGAACCAGGAAGTCTAGCTCTCATTCTGTGGGAGGATGACAGAAACCAGTGCAGGGAAATTCTAAAATAAAGTAGTGGAAATTAAGTATCCTGGCTGCCTAAGACACTACAAGCCATGCTCCAAAATACTCCCTACTCTGAGGTTAATTTTTCCCTTCTTAGCAAGTAAACCATCTACCTTTACAAAAATCTTTGAGAATTGCTTTAGGCTGACGTTTTAACTTTTGGAAAGTCGTGGACTTCTCTGAAATTCTAATGACACTTGTAGATTTTTTTCCCTATGAAAAATCAGCAGATGCATGAAATCTTGCATGCAATTTTAAGGGTTCAGATACCTTCTGAGAATCACTGTTTAAGAACTTCTGCCTTATCCAAAATAAGCCTGGCATACACTAGATCCCTGGTCATGTGTTGAATTAATGAATGAACTCATTCATTTTCTAAGTAGAGGCCCTTGTTGGGGGCCCATATAGTACCATGAACTGGGCACAAACTATCTTTTAACGTCACAACAGCACTGGAGGGTGGGGGTGGGGGCATATACTACTAAGCCCACTTTAGTTTGAGGAAAGTGAGGACCAGAAAAAATAAGCAAATTGCTGAGGGTCATACAGCCAGCAGGATTTTAATCCACACCTGCCTGTCTGAGATGGTCTCTTGGTGAAAGTCAATCCCTCAATAATTCTCTAAGTGATTGTCATTCATGTGATTCTCAAGGTTCTGAGAGGTGCCACAAAAGGGCAAACTAAAGGCTCCTTCCTAGTCTTCACTTCCTCGCACAAGAGAGAGAGCAATTTTAAATTGTATTCTCTGATGTTGGAATCGGCCTCCTAGTTGCGGAATTACAAAAACGCAAATCTCACTACAAACGACAAGCAACACTCTCAATTAACAAGACGTTTGCATAGAGCTTCACGGTTTCCAAAACCCAGATTAGGGGCCGGCCCCTGGCTCACTTGGGAAAGCGTGGTGCTGACAACACCAAGTCAGGGGTTAAGATCCCCTTACTGGTCATCTTTTAAAAAGCAAAACAAAACCAAACCCAGATTGGGTGTAATTATCCCATTTCACAGATTAAGAAACTGAGATGAAAGCGTGGCCTAGTAAGTGGCAGGGTGGAACACCTCTCCCAAATTGCTTGTTTTCATTGCTTCGCCAGCTCGGACCAGGGAGACTTTCCCCTCCCACGAGTTTGCCCGATAATAGCACTCTAACCCGGCCTGTACCCTAGGGAGGGCAGGAAAAAGGTGGCAAAGGGGGCTAAATCCTCACTGCTGGTGCCAAAATGGGGCAGAACCCCCGCAACTGGAAAACCAGGCCCCCAGGCCCAATTCCAGCCCTGCTCCCCCTCCTCAGACCCGCTCGGGTCCTCCGTGTCCTGACCCCATCCCTTCAGAAAACCTGGCCAGCTCCTTCCCTTCCCCCACCCGCACCCCCACCCGGGAAGACCCCGCGCCCTGCAGCTCACCGCGCTCTGGGACTGCTCCCTCTGCCACGCCTGTCAAAGCTAGGCAAACATCCGGCTCCGCGGTGGAAGGGGAACCGCCCCCTCCCGGTCTCCGCATTCCCCAACCACTTCCGCCAAACTGCTAAGCCACTTCCGGTCCGCTGCCCGGCCCAAACATGGCCTTTCCAGGAGCCCCGCCCACTTCCTGTACTTGTCAGCCTAAGTGTCTTCCTGGGGGAAAACGTCCGGCTCTTCACTCCTAAAAGGAGGCGGCTGGAACAATTAGTTCCGCTCTCCCAGATAAGCGAATCTCTGGTGGGGCTCCGGAATCCTAGGTTCGTACTGCTCTCGAACAGAGTTCTGCCTCACAAGTACTCCCAGACTCCCAGTCCTGTGCACCAATGAGGTCCGACTCTTCGGATTCTTAACTGAGAGGAAATTTGGAAGTCAATGACTGTTTCCGGGAGGAGCTGAGAAGAGGACGCTCACTTCCGGCGGAGGGAGGCTTTCTGACCGGGATGGAGGAGGTGGAGGAGCGGCTCTTGGAGAAGAGACTGCATCCCGGTGAGTGGCATCCGATGCCTGCGACCCTCAGTCCAGATCTAGATGGACCTAACGTTTTCTGGTCAACTCTCTCCCCCTCGTCCCTTTTCCTCCCGAGCCCAGGATCTTCCTCCGGTGCCCTCAGAGTCGCTAGGGGCTTCCTAAGAGCCCTCGAACCCCCTCAAACCTTTCAGGGCCCCCCCCTTAGAGCCCTAACATATCCCTTAGACCCCAGAGGTCTAGTTGGACCTGCGGTGTCCTCCTCCTTTCCCCACCCCACGCCATCTTGGGCGGCTCCCTCACTGTCTTCCCATCTCCTTGCAGCCCCCGAGCCGCGCCTGTGTCCGGACTCAGGATGGAGTCTTTCTGGAGAAGGCTGTGCTCGGGGCCTCAAAGACTTCCCGCCCTGGCCGATCCGAGCCATCCACTCTCTAAAGAGCCTCCCCCGGGGCTTGGCCCTCGGCCCCTCACTCGCCGAGGAACAGCGCTGGGGGGTCTGGTGTGTCGGGGAGCCCCTGCAGCCCGGACTGCTCTGGGGGCCCCTGGAAGAAGAGTCTGTCTCCCAGGAGAAGGGCGAGGGAGTGAAACCACCGCAGGAGGAGGTATCGAGGGATAGGGCGTCTCCTCTCCGTGACTGAAAATTCGGAGGGGAGGTTTGGACATTTTTAGACAGCTCTCCAGTTTGAAGAAGCAGGGTATTTCAAGCGATAGGAGATACTTTTGTTCCTTCTCTCTAGGACCGTCTCTTCCTCTGAGCTGCAATAAGGAAGTTAAGGAATCGAGGTACAAAAAGTTGTTAAAAGCTGGATTAGTATAGTATCAGCAGTGACAAAACTCAGGAGCTAAGGTTTTTGAAATTAAAAAGGTACGAGATCAAATCCCAGCCCTGTCACTTAACTAGTTAAATTACCTGCTTCATTGAATACATGTGTAAAGTAAAGCAATGGCTGTCTCAGGATTATTTGGAGGACTAGACGAAATAATGCAGGTAAATGGTTTCATTGCATAATAAGTAGTATTTTTAAAAGTTGATGTTCTTCAGTACTTTTTCAGTTTAGTACTCGCTGGAAGGCAGTAATGTGTTCAGTTTAGTAATTGCCACCCTTGGGGGCAGGTGAGGGGACAATCTTTTTGGTCTTTACTTGGTGAAAAGTCAGACAGCACCATCCTGTAGAGGCAGAACCAGAGTCCAGTAACCTCCCAGGAGCGTCATCTTAGATTTGTCACAAGAGAGGTTTTAACAGGCTTTTTTTTCCTATTGGTCCCCTCAAACACACGTGAGATAGATTTTTATTGGTTTATTTCAGGACCTGTCCCTAGGCCCATGGGGAGATGTGTGTGCCTGTGAGCAGAGTTCAGACTGGACCAGGTAAGTTACAAGAGAATGTGTAGCAAATATACTCCTTTGAGGCTTTCTGTTGTGACTTGGGATGGAACCTGAAGCTGACCATAATTCCCTACCCAATAATCTTTTCCAGTGAGTATTCCAAAGGCATGGTGTCCTTTAGGGCTCAGACTGCCTGGGAGCTTGGGCTTTCAGGGAAGGACACTTGAAGGGGGTCTCCTGAGCTAGCTGTTGCTCTACTTTGCAGTTTGGTGCAACGGGGCAGGCTGGAGAGTGAGGGAAACGTGGCCCTGGTGCGGATCAGTGAGAGACTCCACCTGCAGGTATATCAGGTTGTGCTGCCAGGCTTTGAGCTGCTACTTTGGCCCCGGCCTCCTTCTGAGGGCCTCTGTCCCACCCAGCCCGGTCCAGAGGAAAAGGCAGCTGCAGCGATGGTGACAGAAGCAGACTCTGCTATACAACAGGAGGTGGCCTCCCCTGGAGAAGATACAACAGAACCTTGTACAGGTATGTGTCAAATAAATCATGGCTCCCCAGACAATCTGTTGATAAGACAAAGCAGAGTTTATGGCTCAGTGTGGAAAGGGAGAACATTACACAGTCTTAGTAGCTTTCCAAAGTCTGGGTTGAGGTGGATCTTTCAGTGTGGGATGGGAGGCAGGGCTTGACTAGGATTGGGTAGGGATCATGACAGTGGTTTAGGATTGGTGGACACAGCAAGACTAGAATTTTCAACCAAGGGGTTTAAAGAGTCCTGGGCTGCAAACTGTCACTTGATGCTTTCTATTGAAGAGTGATGGGTCTTTCCTTGGAATGAACAATAAAGATATTTGTAACTTTTATTTTCCTAAGAGTTTCCTGGAATAGTAAAGTCATGGTGATGAAGACAGTAAGGAGTGTACACGTTTTTTAATTTCTTATGTTTCTTTTCTCTGCGGTGGGGGGTCAGGTTCCTTTATTTTACACATGAGCTAAGGTGGGGGGGCTAGAGTCTTGACTCACATCCTAAGTATGTGTCTCCAGAGGGAGAACAAGGCAACACTTACTCTGGGATGGCCTTACACTAGGGATTATCCAGATGTGTGGGGTGCTGTGGTTCCCAGGAGTGCTTCCCCAGGAGGCTCCTGAGACCAGACAGGAAGATAAACAGAGTATGCAACTCCTGTTCCAGGAAGGAGATTGATGTCATTGCCCCACTGAGGTTCAGGGGCCAGGTAGGAGAAAACACATACAAGTATTGTTATAATTCCCTGGTGACACCACCTGCTACCAAGTTCTGTTAACCCCAGCACCCCACTCTTTCCTTGCAGATCCTGGTCACCAGTCACCCCCCAGCATCCAGGCAGAGAGTATGGTAAGCCCTGGACTTAAGACCCAAACCCAGGACCAGCTTTCCAAGCGTGGCCAACCACTTGGCCCATTGCTTCAGGATGGCAGCATGGATGAGGAGTACCCACTCCAGGCACAGAGTCCTCCTCAGAGCAGCTCAGCTACCCAGCAGGGCCCAGAGAGCAGTGAAATCTGTTTCACATCTTCTGCCGGGGACACCCAGCCTTGTGCCTACCTGGCCAAGAAGTTACATAGCCTTAGTGATCAATGCCCACCTAGAGCAAAGACCTCAGAACCTGGGGCCCAACACTCTGGCTTCCCTGTACTCTTGCGGAGCTCTCCTGGCCCAGCAGGAAGCTCCCCAAAGCAGGGACGACGGTACCAGTGTGGGGAGTGTGGCAAGGCGTTCCTGCAGCTGTGCCACCTAAAGAAGCATGCATATGTGCACACAGGCCACAAGCCCTTTCTTTGCACTGAGTGTGGCAAGAGCTATAGTTCAGAGGAGAGCTTCAAAGCCCACACGCTGGGCCACCGTGGGGTGCGGCCCTTCCCCTGCCCACAATGCGACAAGGCCTACGGCACCCGGCGAGACCTCAAAGAGCACCAGGTAGTACATTCAGGTGCCCGGCCCTTTGCTTGTGACCAGTGTGGCAAGGCCTTCGCCCGCCGGCCCTCCTTGCGGCTGCATCGCAAGACCCACCAGGTGTCAGCTGCCCCTGCCCCATGCCTGTGCCCCGTGTGTGGGCGGCCCCTGGCCAACCAGGGCTCCCTACGAAACCACATGCGGCTCCACACAGGGGAAAAGCCTTTCCTGTGCCCACACTGTGGCCGGGCATTCCGCCAGCGGGGCAACCTGCGCGGGCACTTGCGGCTCCACACTGGGGAGCGCCCTTACTGCTGCCCACACTGTGCTGATGCCTTCCCCCAGCTGCCTGAGCTGCGGCGCCACCTCATCTCCCACACCGGAGAGGCCCACTTGTGCCCCGTGTGTGGGAAGGCCTTGCGAGACCCACATACACTCCGTGCTCATGAGCGCCTGCACTCGGGGGAAAGGCCCTTCCCGTGCCCTCAGTGTGACCGTGCGTACACACTGGCTACCAAGCTGCGGCGCCACCTCAAATCCCACCTGGCAGACAAGCCTTACCGCTGCCTCACCTGTGGCATGGGCTACACCCTCCCTCAAAGCCTCAAGCGACACCAACTCAGTCACCATCCTGCGGCGCCCTCTGGCCCGCCCTCTGTGTCTCCTGATGCTTCTGAACCAAGCATGGTGCTACTGCAGACTGAGCCAGCACTGCTGGACACGTGCAGTGAACAAGAAGCCTCCCCAGCTGGGGATGTCATTGAGGTCACCATTTCAGAGAGCCAGGAGAAGTGCTTGGTGGTGCCAGAGGAGCCGGGCCGTACTCCCAGCCTGGTGCTGATTCATAAGGACATGGGTTTTAGTGCCTGGGCAGAAGTGGTGGAGGTGGAGACGGGCTCCTGACACCGTCCCCTTTCCCTGGCAGAGCTCTCTATAAAGACTTGTGTTTTCTATTGTGGCGTGTCTGCATCATCTTTCTCTTTGCGTTGCCTGGCAGGGACTACTATGAGAAACAGCTCAAGGACTTCCCTTCCTGCTTATGAACCACCAAATCGTTTCCCAAGGCTTTAGGTAAAACCTCTTTTGGATTAGAGATCTTTTTATTGATGTCCATTAGAGCTTGTTTTACCTCCATCCCTAGGGGCACCACAGGGTGCTTGTTCCTTAAACACTGCTAAAGTGACCCCATCCAGTGAGGTAGTCTGGTTGGCAGCACCGGGATAGTCACACCCAGAGCTCCCTGAGGAACAAGCACTTCTATTTGGAACCTAATTGAATGACTTGAGGGTTGAAAGACTGAGCTCAGC